GTGAGAGAGAGAGAGAGGGGGTCACATCACAGTGGAGTCAGCTGTCTTAACCGTGGCTTGTGTACTGCACACATACCAGCTTCATCACTGTGTCTGTCACGCGACTCTGTTCCCCTTTCGGGCTTGAACTGATGGTAAAACTAATGACATTATTTACTGTCTTTACATTTATTTTGAAAGATGAAGCTGGCGATTATGGTAAGGGGCGTTACATTTCCGACGAGTGCTTGCGGTGTTCGGCCAATCACAATGCACTGGGTCAGCTGGCCAATCAGAGCAGACTGCGCTTGTCGGAAGGCGGGACTTTGTAGAAAACTAAGCGTTTGAGAGAGGCGGGGCATAGAGAACCTACAATAATGTACAGTATTTGAAAAATAATGTGTTTTTTGAACATTAAAGCATGTCAACATATTCTGTTACACCAAATACACAAAATAATGATCTTTAAAAAAGCATCATATGACCCCTTTAAATAAATCTGCCATAGCAATTAAAAAATCCTATCAATCTCTTTAGCCAACCCTTCTGATAACCAGTTATGTGCCAGTCACTTATTCAGACTCAAAACACAACCGAGTACACACTTCTGATACTTGAAAGGTGCTAGATGAAATACCTTTGGTCTTGTTGGTGGATCCAGATGTGCAGCTATTAGGGGACATGTGGCAACTGGAAAGACTGCAAGGGCGGTTGCTGGCAGGGGCACAGGTGATTACCGATGGACGATTCTGATATTAAAGGAATGTTACTTTTTTTGTTTTGTTTTGTTTGGAAATATGACAATTCTACACATTTAGCAACACATCCTGTAACAGTGAAGCCACTGATGTAGAATCAATGCTTTAAAGTCTGACCTGCTGGCGTTTTGTGCTGGATCCAGGAATACGAAGCACGCTCCTAGTAGGATCTAAGCTGTGTTTGGTCATCTCAAGGGGTTGATCCACCGCAAAAATGGGGAAAGGTGCAAATACATGATGGTTATGAAGACCACTCAGAGATGTGTGACCATAACTATAATTGCATAACTCCTGGTTTTCAGTGTCTCCATTCGAATTTCTCCTAAAAACACACAAGAAACAAACATGCATGCTGTGCAAAAAACTGTTAACTGATCGAACAATTCAAAAACATGGGAAGCTTTGCTGCACTGCAAATAACAGAGCTGTAGCAGACATACAGATGGGATCCCAATAAGCATCTCATTTTGTTCATCTGTTCTTCATCCGAGTCTTTTTGATGATTCAGAGAGTGTTCATGGTGTTTTCTCTTGGTTGGGCTCATGGGAGCACACCCTGAGTTAAGCACAGGGACCCTAGATGCTCCAGAATCATCTGCCAAGAAATCAGTCAGATCAAGGCACAGCCATTGCTAATAATGCTTAACAAAGACAAAGTTCATCATCACGCTCGAATATGACGTCAGCCTAGAATATCAGTGAAAGCTTTAATTGGTAATATGCAAACATTTCATTACAAATCTCATACTTCAACAGCAAGTCGCATAGTTCATACAGTGCTATTACATATCAGTGCTCCACATCTATTCATTTATTCTTATATTGATTAAAATGCAATTCATACATACAATGATTATGATATGCACCCTTTTTTATGCAAACATGTATTTTTTTATAAAATACATTTTGATATTTTGGGGGGCATAAAGTCCTGATTTAATCATGAAGAACAAAGCTTCATTAAAAGGTTAACCTTAAAATATCAGATAATTTGACTTTATGACGTATCTAGATTAGCTCAGGCTGAATATTTTACATAAATTTATGAATTATTCATATATTTGTAAAAAGAAAAAAACATTTAATGCTGAAAAATATATTATAAAACATGTATTAAAATGACGACTGATATATGTACACTTACATGTATTTAATGTGTAAGAAAATTTGACCTTTTACTAGTTAATACATTTAAAAGTTTTTTTCAAAACCATATGAAACCAATATGAACGTAAAATTACATTTCTAAGAAACTGGCATATAGATGAAATTTATTAAGTATTTTATGAATAGAAGCATTTTCATTACTGTCCACCATGGTACTAAATGATTAGTATAAGAATTAATGTTTAAGTGATTAATATAAGTATTAATGGATGACATTCACATGATATTACTTCAGAAACTCAATATTAAATATGTATTGTGTTTATCTGAATGCAGTTACTTACCCTCATGTGCATTACACTGCAGCCTGCTGATGTTCGCGTTCATTTTGTTGTTGGTGAAATTATTAATCAAGATATCCATTTTAACACTAACATTTACATTTAAAGCAGAAATATAATCGGTTACTCCAGCTCGGCTGTTAGTAACGGTATGAAATATGGTATTTCAGAAGGGTAAACATAAGCAAACTTACAATAATAGCTGATAGTAAGATGTGGAAATAAAAAATGTAAAAGTTTGCGTTGTTTTTAGCATACTGAGCTATTTTAGCTGTTAGCTCGGGCTGCAAGTTAGATGCTAACCTGTCCGTCTACGGTTTACGTTAACGTTAGTGACTTAAATCCAAAATGCCTACTCATACTCGTCAAGCACGACCTGTTGTTTGTATAAATGGCAAATAAAGCAGTCAAACAGGTGAGGACTAGATGTTGTGTTACAATGGTAAAAAGTGAGTATAATGCTAACGCTGCTCGACAGAAGCTCGTGTGTTTCCGCATGCAAAAAAAAAAAACTGTAGATTTAATTTTTCCACAAACATTCAATATTTACTTATAATATTTCTCACAGATCGTGGTTCATTTGTCTATATTTGGAGTTATATCTTACATTTTCTGTCACAAAATGTGACGCCAATTTCAATAAAAATATTTCAAATAGTTACGTAGTCATCAAAAACGACTGCCATTGGCCCATTCTGAAAAGCGCTGAAAACAGTGGCACGTACCACGTGACAACGCCTTCTTTACCACGCCCCCTGGATCTTGTGTTCTGCACATAGACTGTATATAAACCACAGGCTCTGCAGCTGCAGTGAGGGCCTACTGGGCTCCTTCTGAAAGGTAACAGTCCTATGCCAAAATCTCGCGACATTTACTTGAGGGGCGTTGATGAGATGATATTATGTTACTTGCTAGCAATCTTGCTGTTATTATTATACCTCCTATTGTTTTTTCATTATAGACTACACTTCTGATGAAAATGTGTTTATCCAGTTTCAGTTCGAACTGGTGCTTACTGGCAAATTTTCTGTGTATAACTAAAGGTAAAAGCTAAAAGGTAGCCTACTACTAATAAAAAATAATTAATGCTCCAAAAGGCAACAAGTCATAAATTCTAAATTTATAGAGTAACTCCA